ATCTCGATTATTTCATAAATATTTTATCCCTGTGTAGCAGTTAAATATATAATATATATAATATATATGTGTAAAACATTATATGCTGCATAAGAAAAATTATTAGTTTCCTATCTGCATATCGCAATATTTCGCGCAAAGATAATACGCGGTACGTGTGATGTGTATACGTTCAATTTGAGGTCTCTCTCTTCTTCCTCTCGATCTCACTCGCTTTCTTTCTCTCTTTCTCCCTTTCCCTCCTTCTCATTTTCTCCTTTTCTTTCTCGCATCGTCTATCACATGCTCACTCTCAAACCGATTATTTCCTATTACACGCTCGCACAACTCAATTATCTCAAAAATTTCCCCCTAAAAAATCTCATAATTTTTTCCCCTCTCTTCTGCCACGTGTTTTATAACGATAAGACGCTGGCCTCTTATATCATTTAGCCTGTCGTGTCATCATACGCACCGTTGACTTGAAAAGAAAAAAATAATATACGCTATCGGAAATCCGGAAAAACCGGCCCCGCTAAATAATTTACGTTATTTCTCCTCACAACGTCTTCTCGCGTCCTTCCCTCTTCCTTTCGTTTGGCCGTGACGCGATTTATTACTATTGTAAAAGATCGGCACATCGTATCTTATCCCGCACTATACTTTCCTCGATTATAAAATTTTTCATCGGTGCAAGATCAATAATACGATAAGTAACATGATGAATAAGAGCATTTTTCTTTTTTAATCTTCTGCTGGCCTAACAGACCCGCAATATCAAATGCGCGATATATCAGAACAATTGAGGCGCTGAGAACACACAAAAGAAATGCATTCTTAGTAAAAATAAAAGCTAAATTTTTGTATTGAGACTCTTCATTATATAATATCATCGGCGTAGCACTAAATTAAAAACTTTTTTTTTTTCAAGCTGTCACGTACCCAATTTTTGTTCTCAGCGTCCCAATTAAGAGTTAATATCCTATTACCATACGGAAACTCGTAAAACGTGAATCAGTATATGTATATTCCTGAATTATGTATTCTTATTTGATAAACGATCTCGCGTTTAATTATCACGTAGAAAGCAAGCTTTTAAGCCGAATTGTTGAACGTTTTTTTTTTCCCTTTAGAGCGTCAAAAGATCACGCTCGACTTACAGTATTAAACCTATCTTTATTATTTTCTTTAATTCTCTTTTAATTTTCCCAGAGTGAGTGCACAAAGGGAATTATCATGGATTACGAAAATTTGCATAATTATCGCCCGGCGCGGGCATAGAGACTCTGTGTGAAGCGCGATATCACGTTATCCCATTTTCGCCGTCCCAAAATTCTCTAATTCACGTGATAAGCCAAAACATATGAAGGCATTATTACTCGTACACGCGTAAAACACAAGGCTAAGGACGCAGTTGGAATCTGTTTAAACCTCAAACACGGATTCGCGCGCGAATATAACTAGTTCATTAAATCTTTCTCTCTTTTTCTTCCCCCTACACACCTTTTTGCTAGTCAATCATTCATTCATTTTCTCTCAATCTCTCTCTCCCTTTCTCTCTTACTCTTTCTCACTCTCATTTTCTTTCTTGCGCTGTCTTCATCTCTCTTCTTCTACAATCTCATACATAATAATGCGACAACAAAGAAAGCATATATGCGTTGATTGGTTCAGATATAAATATTTCAATTATCTTTTACTATTCGCCATTGCACTTATCTCAGTCCAAGACGTGATCGATAAACAATGCATAAGTTTGTCTTTCTTTTCTTCCCTTTCTGATGAAACGGATATATCGGTTAGTACGATTTATACTACATACAGTATTCTACATTCGTCTCATCGGCCACGTCAAGGATGTGGATGCAAGTCCCGCATCTGGGAGTGATATTTAAAATAAACTTACTAAATGCTGACAAAACGCTTTCTCGTCAAAGACACAAACTTAAAATGAGCAGGGTTCACTCGTCGTGTTATTAATACTCGATTAACATTTAAATTCCAACTTTTCGCAACTAAGAGCAATATCTATGTGAATGCAAAAAGTTTGTGTGTGCGTGTGCGGTAAAGTAGAGACCCATAGCTATCTTCTTTTTAGTTTAACACGGCTCTTGTTTTTGCGATCTTATAGTATAGAACATCGTACTGACGGAGACACTTGAACCTCGTTTTACTTAACTTAGACCATTCTGCTAATTCGAGTCCGATCGCACCGCAGCCGAAGAAAGATAGCCATAGGCGATTAGAGGGCTAATTTAGGCAAAGATTAGATATAGCAGCCCCTGCAAAAATTGATATTCACTAAATTTTTCGTGATAATACGAGTGCAAGGTATATCGATAAAATCGACTAATATGTGCTTCAATCATATTACGTGAGATTATCGATAAGTGCCAATTCTGAAAAGTTAATACGATTCACAAATAATACATGATGTTATCCCTCTTTCCCGTGACAACACACGAATATCAAATGGATATAAATAAATGTGTGTATGGTAAATCGCACGGTAAATTACCGTCGCAATAAGAGCAACCAATGTAATAAAATCATGGTGTCCAGCGAAATCTGGCTAGTCAATTCAAGGATAATTCTAGAACATTCCGGGTAAAAATACTGGTTTTTCCAGAATTTATCCATCAATTCATTATCATTATTTAATTAATTTTCGTCGATATATGCAATATTATGTGCTTTGTATTTAAATTAGAATCTACAGGATGTCCCAGAATAACCGCCAAATATTTTATGTATAAATAATATCGAATAATTTAGAAAATAATTTAGGCTTTAATAAATATTCGTTTGATATTAAATCAAATAGAAACAAATTTAGCCTATAAGAGATTGCGACTCGTTGACACCGATGAATCTATCTTCAATATCGTGATTCCATGTAAGTTGAAATTTATTTTTAATCGTTATATATTATTAATTTATCATTACGAAATACAAAAACAAATATAATTAATTTGCAGTTATCAGGAAATTTATGAAGTCCGATTTGAACTCTTACATAAATTATTACACAAGATTCACATTAACAAAGAGATAAGTTTAGACACCTTATTAATGCGTATATGTAAATAATCACATCGTGCCAGACCTATTTTGAAATTGTGACTATGATTCAATCATTAACTAAATATAGTCAATTATTGTATATTAATGAGGACTCTAATTGAGAGTTTGTCGGTACCGTATTCTTTTGTAATAAATGATTTGCTCACACGTCAACCTTGTAGCGGCTCTTATAGGCTAAATTTGTTTCTATTTGATTTGATATTAAACAAACATTCCGTTAATACAAACAATTTTTTTTACTATGTTCTATTTTAAACATTCAGTCCAAATTTTTTATTAGAATATAATATAAATAAACTTATTGCACTTTTAAGGACGGACTTATACTCAAACACGACTTTACTTTTTATTACTTCTTTCTTTTTTCACGATTTAATTGTTAATAGAATAAAAAATGATAAATTTCAGGCCAGCCTGAAATTTTAGGAATTTTCCAGAAAACATTAAATTTCAGTATAATTCCAGGACCCAAGGATATTCAAGGACCGCTGGACATCATGTAAAATCCAAAATAAAATCATGTTGGCCTTACACTTTATGATATTGATATATGCGTGAATATTTTTTGCATTAGTTGCTCATTAGATCTATGGTATTACAAAACAAAAGTTAAAGAATGCAGGTCAATTAAGTATCGGGAATGCACTAGTACAATAAATTAAATATTATGCTAAGATCGACACAAAGACACTTTTGTTACATACTTTCGCTTCATGCAGAACGATACTTTCGTAGTAACGTCTCTTTTTTATTGCGTCAAAATCTTAGCTATATGCGTGACAATGATAGATTCAACGAAACGATCTAATAAGTAAAAAATTTGGAGTGCATGCATTTTTTAGACAATTTGAGAAGCACGCAAAGATCGTTGGGTTTATCTTTTTTTTTTACTTAATTTTACTTACTGAATTAAAAAATCGTGGTTAAAATTATTATCTAATTTCCTAATAGTTGGGAAAATTTTTTTCACATTTTAAACAGGAGAAAGCAGCTTTTTTACTTTGTTAAACCATATCTGCGAGTTTCTCTTTTTATATAAAAACAAAATTGTTTCTTTGGATTGGTATTGATTAAACTATCCTGTATAGTGCAAATAAAAGTCATGACTTTAATAATTATTTATTTTAATAAACAAATGATTTTTATATAAAAACAAACAGAAATTCGCAAATATGATTTAACAAAGTGATAAAATCAACTGTTGCTTTCTACTGTTCAAAATGTGAAAAAAAATTTCCCAAATACTAGAACAATTTTAACTACAATTTTTTAATTCAGTAAGTATTATTTTTAATTCAGTAAATATTATATATAAATTAAATAAGAAAAAAGATGAACCCAATGACCCTTGCGTTCTTCCCAAAAAAACTTAAAATGCATGAACTCCTTTAAAGATTTTAATTGTTTATGAATTCTTCGAAAGTATTTTTCTGTTGCTAATTAATGGACGAGAAAAATTATACATACGTCGTTGCAAAACTACAACAGTTCTTGTCGATTTTAAAATCTCCTGTACGACGTTATACCAAGGAACGGAAAGGGAAATCGGGAGGTCTGAGGCTGCGAGGTTTGCTGCGTATGAATCGATGTATACGGTGATTGCTGGAGAAGAGGGGAGCTCTGTTGATTTTGCAATGACGACAGAGACTGCCCGGAGGAGTGAGAGTGTAAATTTTGTTGATGATGTGGATATGATAGCGTATGATGACAAGGAGAGGATTGCGAGTTCGCCGGCGGGACATTTAGATTATTTGCGACGCTGATGTTACCGGGGATGTTGAGACTGTTAGGATTGTTTGGAATTGTCAGGCTCTTCGGGATACTGAGCGCGTTCGGGAGATTCATATTTGTTTGCAAGCTAGGCGGTAGAGAGAGAGTAGCTGACGTAAGATAATGTACGTTGAAAGATGGACGGGGGGGCTAGTAAAGCCTCATACCTTCTTCGAATTTGACGATGAGAGGATCGACGGCGGGACTGCCAATAAAACTACCAGCCTCGCTGTTTCCTCTTCCTTGGTCCGATTCAGTAGTACTGCTGCCGTCATACTTTGGATCATCTTTATGAAATAAAAATAAGTGTAAACACATACTTTCCATATTACTATATACGTGATATCCATTTCCTTATTATCATATTTATATTATTTTATTTTACTCTATATTTTTCATTAATTCTAAATAACGTCTTTAATTCTCATTACACAGTGGACACAAATTATGCGGACAAAGCACTGTAAAAAAATTCTGTTAGTTGGTAAGGGCAGATGAAATGTCAAAGGGTTTGCCAAGATTAGTTCAATTTTTTTATTTATGAAACTTCAAAGTTGAATGCAAAATGAATGAAAAATTGACTTATTTTTGTCTACATTATAAAGTTTTTTAAGAAAAGTATTAGCTTGATTACATCGCCGAAGCGCGCATTTAGAAATATTATAAATAAATCATTAGTTACTATATCTTCGATTTTATCATCTCTGTCACATATTTTATGAAACTATCTGCAAATATCATTTAGCAATGCATCTAATTTTTTTTCTTTATAGTAAGCTTCCATTAATTGGCATAGGTACTTGATGGAAGCGCTCGTCAAGTTTATCCCATTCTGAATACATGTTCCTTATCAAAGTAATTAAGATGATGATAAAGAGATTATATTTTTAGGTTCATATAAACACCTATTCTTTCAAATGCTCTCAATATACTAGCTATAAAAGTTCAATAATTTGCTGACCGATTCTAAAAAGTTTTCGATTACTGCTTTCATCACTATAAAAAATTGCCTTAAAATTCAGACAAAATCTGAAGTTATCACATTGTCTGAATTTTTAGCCATAATTGTATTAATTTCTAGCTACATTTCTCTGAATTTTTAGCTGCAATGTAATTGTCTAAATATTTCTGATCTCAATACCTGAATATTTAGACATTGTCTGAACATTTTGATACCAAAATTAGAAATATTCAAACAACTAGTTAGAAATTCAGACAATGTCTGAATATACTCAGGCACTGAGATCAAAGATATTCAGACAACTACAGCTATAAATTCAAAGAAATGTGGCTAGAAATTGATACAACTATGGCTAAAAATTCTGTCCAAAAATTCAGATGTGACTGTAAGATTCGAAAATTCAGATAATGTGACTATAAAAAAACTTTAGCTTTCGTCTGAATTTTAAACAATTTTTTTACAGTGATCCCAAGATGGTATTCGAGAGAATAGATATTCGTATGAACCTAAAAATACACTTTCTACTACACTACTATCTTGATTATTTTGAAAGGTAACTTGCATCAGAATCGGACGAACATGCCAAGCGCTTTCATCAAATAGCCGTGTCAATGGCAACTCATTATAAAGGAAAAAAATTGGATTGCTAAACGATATTTGTTGATGGTCTCATAAAATATGTAACTAATTGTAAGATGATGAAGCCAAAGATATAGCAACAGATAATTTTTTAAATTCTTTATAATTATTATATTTTCAAATGCAAGCTTCAACGATATAGTCAAGCTAATAGTTTTCTTTAAAAATTCGATAATGTGAAAAAATAAGTCATATATTTTTCATTCATTTATATTCAATGAAGATTCATAAATCGAAAAATCAAATTAATTTCGGTAAACCCTTTGACATTCCATTTCTCCTCACCTAATACTAACAGGATTTTCTTATAGTGCTTTGTCCGCAACAATTCTTTTCAGAAAACTTGTTCCATAATGTTATTAATATATTGGGTAAAATTATAAATAAAATCATAATGTTTTATATGATATAATTATATTCGACACTCTTTTGGATTTTAAAATAAAATACAAATAATTACGATTACAAAACGATTCACAAATTTTTATATTAAACGAAGTTTTTAAAATCAAGATTTAAAAAAATTGAATAAATTTTTTTACTATAAATAAAAAAAAAATAAATTAAAATCTTTAATAAAATCATCATAATGTTTTATATCATATAATTACATTCGATACTTTTTTGGATTTTAAAATAAAAATAATTTACAAATAATTACGACTACGAAACGATTCATAAATTTTTATATTAAACAAAGTTTTTAAAATCAAGACTAAAATTGAATAAATAAATTTTATTACCAATTGTTACCAATCTAATATTAATCGAGTTTTAGGATAATAAAAAAAATATTTACCTTGACGATTCAGCCACTCTTGATTCGGAGATTTTGTTGCTACTTCCGTAGTCTTCACAGGATTGATGGGGTCACCAGAAATAGTACGAGGACTCGTATGCATAAATGGACAATGTGGTTTTCTACATCCTCCAGGTTGTGTTTCCCAATAACAAGGAATTGATTTACGATTTTTCTGCAATAAAAATAATTCAAATTTAATTCTTCTTCTAAATATTAAAATAATTTCGTAATGGATTATGCAATCCATAACGCTGCAAATGCTCCAATCAGAAAAAAGAATTTTACGAATTGACCAATCAAAGAATGCTTCAAAGCATTTACAGCGTGAAGTGGATTGTGCCCTAAATAGCATTATGGCATATATTATTTTGTTTTAATTTTTACATAATCAGGAACTGTTTGTCTATTCATTTATCTATTCATAACATCTATTCATTTATTCAAACAAAGCAATTTAAAAACATAAAAAGGCAACTATATGTGTTTATAAAACTTCACAAGTTTATATTGTATAATATAATATAAAGTATACTCTTAATAATTATACAAACATTTAAAAAATCAAGAATTATACATATAAGTAATTTCTTCTTATCCTACATAAAAAGAAAGATAAATGATAAAAAAAAATTTATTTATTTCTTTTTTTCACAATGATATAATCAAAAGTGTTACACACACAACAGCAGCAAAATACTATTTTTGATGTGTAAATTTAAAACATGTAATCTAAATGAGAACAGGTCGACATGCAAATCGATAAGTACAGATAGTTTTGCAATACAGTAAAGTTGTTACATTATATAAATTAGTACATTTTGTAAGAATTATCATAAACCACCTAAGAATTGTTTATTCAGAAAATGTACAGATAAGTACGAACTGATAAGCAAATGTTCTTGCGATATAATAACTTCGTTACACGAACACCCACTTTTGCTGATTTATATCTATCCGTTAAATTTATCCCCAAGGGTCAGGAAATTTTTTTCTATGAATATTTCTATGAATATTTCTATAAATATTTCTATAAATATATCCTGGTAGTAAATATTTTAGGTTTTGGGAGCCTCAAAGAACAATATTAAAGATATTAATTGCATTCAGAAAGCCATTCAGTGAGCACTTAATGATCCCTTTTATAACTGGTTTGTACTTTTAGAACACGTACTCTAGCGAAGAACTAAAGGCGAGAACCAATCATATTAAAGAATCGCTGAGTGCTTCCTGAGTGGCTGTGTCTTCTGAACGCAATTATTATGTAAATATTTATATAAAAAAAGAAAATAATGTTGAGTAAATTCAAAATATAATAATTACGCAGACTATAAAGACAAGTGATAGGTTAGATTTGGCCGGGAGCCAGTTTGCCGATTTCTGAATTAATAATTCTAAACAATAATTCTTAGCCCCAATTTCACAACTCACTGTTAACTCTTAATTGTGTGAGATTCAACTTATACATTATCTCTTTTCAATTCTAAAATTGGAAAGAGATGAGAAACAAGTTGAACCTTGGTTAAGACTTAACCGTGAGTTATGAAACTGGGCCTAAGGCCCGATTTCACAATATATGATTACTTAAAGATTAAAGGTAACTAAGAAATTCATGAATGAATTTCATTGATGAACCTGTTGATAACCTTTAATCTATAGGTAACCATATATTGTGAAAACGGGCTTTAGTGAGAGTTCCGAGTGTAAGCTGTTGACTAATAATTGGTAGGATCCCGATCTATACCAATTTTATCTTGATTTAAAAGAAATTGTATTGTCAACGTTTTAGTCTAATTTATTGAGCAATTCTTATATACAGTTTAAATTAGATGTACACATTGTGACATATCTCACACAAACTTCATATAACTACTAAATATTAGGGGTTCTTAGTTAGTTTAGATATTATTTAGTTAGGTTAAATATTATTTTTTAAAAATTTAAGACTAGGTAAGTCGAAACATATTTGTATTTTGTTATGATTTGACAATAAATCGTCATTTTCACTTATGATCCATTAATGCCTGTCTCTCTTTTCCACAGGCCTATTATTTTTATTTAAAAGAAATTGATTAGAAAATTGAAGAGAGAGATGGTTAGTATGAGGTGACAATATTAGTCCATTTTGAAAATTCATATTTCAATAATCAGTTTATATCACATAAAAAATTGTCAGTAAACCATGAAAGCAGTTTTTCTTGATAAAATAATGTGTGCGTTTTACATACAAATAATTGACAGACTGCTGCCAAACATTCTAAAATCTTAATGCAATAAAGATATTTACCTTTAATTCCATATGTCTGAAATTACAGTGTTCATTAAGGCAATTTCCCTGCTGCCAGTATGTACACATAGTTTCACAACCCAGAGCCGATGGTTCATGTCTATACGGGCAAAAGTCACCCTATGAAAACAAAAATAACAAAGTGTAAATAATTCGATAACTCGTTCAAATGATTTATAAAAACAACACGCAATTTGCAGTGCCAAATCAATTATCGATACTGCAGGCGTGATTACATCAAATATTATCAAATATCTTAAAAATTTATTCTATGACTTATAAAGATATCATAGAATATTTTTAATTACTCAATCTTACTAAAATAAATATAAACCATATGTAAGTCAAAGCCAAAAAATCTTAAAACTATAAAATAATAAAATAACACAATCATGCAATTCGGCAGATATTAAATATTCGCTTTCACATTGTAATATGTTCAAAGTATTCAGATGATGAATGAAGTTATAACAAAAAAATGTATCATATATAAACAATTCAATGGACGAGGAAGTCCATTTGTAACTTTGGCAGGAATCCTAATAAATGGATTGACTTGGAACTTTTATGAGAAATTCTCTGTCAACATGGCCTCAAGATGGCCGACCTAACCTCAGTGAGAGACGCCGAATTTTCTAGCAATATGGAACGACGTCGCATATTTTCGGATGTTCTTGAAACAATGTTAAACGGTATCATTAGACGCTACCTGCAACAAAGAAAAGCCCTGCTTACCTTTTTACAAGTGGAGTAGTAGAAGAAATAGCAATCCAGATTCTTATGATTGTGCTCCATTTGTAAGAACTTGTAGAACGATGAGTGATCGTGCTCCTTACTGAAAACAGAAATCAGAAATTGTTCTAAACTCCATACTCCCTGCCGTTCGAGAGCGAGTCGGGCATGCAGACGATCTTTTTGCGAAATTACGATTACGAATGAGAGGAGAGGAGCGGTTTACCATTTTGTCCGGAACATGATTGTACGATACGTGATAAAACCAGCACGCGCTCGTGAGATAATCAAGACGGAATTCCGACGCGAGATAAGTTAGTGCTACGACCAAACTGACGAAGCCCGTTCAAATCGACGTCCTGACGCGAGAGCAACAACAAACCCGTCCCCCCTTTCAACCCGCTCCGTTTTTTCTACACGTTTACCGTGCCATCGTCATGTATACGTACACACTTGGCCGCAATGACCTCCTTGATCACCTCTTCTGTTTTCCCTGTTTTTTCGATCGCCTTTACCGCGCACACGAAATCTGCTCGAATACGCGTTGCTCGATCCTTTCCTTGTCCTCAACAGTCCTCGACGATATCGTTATCGGCTATCTTGTCGATATGCAGCGGTGCCCCGTCAACACACGTCAATCCCGTAGCGTTGCTTCGCAGGGACTAACGCTGCAACGCTGCAAGAGCACCACTCATCGACGCCAATGACGCTGCACCGCGGAGGCACACTGTGGAGGGGGCTGCAGTTTAGGCGGCGGAGGCATCGCAGCCAATAGCTGCATTCAGCAGAAAAAATAGATTGGTTTATAGATTTAGATCTGATGGGGGAAATACGGGCAAGACCAATCATATTCGAGAATTTCATACACTTGCAAAGTTACTTTTTCTGCTGAACGCAACCAGCGTTGTCGAATGCCATTATGGCGGCTTGTTCGAAGATGCAGTTGATGCACTTTGGACCCTTTGGACTTTGGACTTTATTCCACGCGCGCTGCGTTTCCGAAAATATTATTTATTTCTCTCCGAACGATAATTTAAATTAAATATAATTAAATACATTGTTATATATAACATACTCTTAATATATATATGCACAATGATTAAATATAAATTTCAAAAATAGAATAAATTATATACACGAATTTTCTGAGAGGCTTGGCATAGGACGCGTCCTTTGTCGCAACGTGCCTCTCAAAAGAGAACGCGGCCTTAAACTCTTTGTTGCTATGTCTCGAACAAGTGTCTCTGTATACAAGATGAATCAATGAAAACTTTTTACATTGTTTCTTTTTGTAAACTAATTGATTTGTGAGAAATATGTATACATACATAGAATTTGAGAAAATTGTACGAATAAAAAAATAGTATATATTATGTGTACATTTAATATTTATTAATGATTAAATATAAATGGTAAATTATATAATGTGAGGTTGTAAGGCAAATACATAAAATTTGTTAAGAATTACTTGAAAGAATTATATTTTATTCCAAATTGTATTTAAAAGTAATACAAAAAAAATTAGAGATAGTTTATTACTATCTGAATTAAAAATTATTAGAGCTGGTTTATTACTATCTGAATTAAAAATTATTTCAATAAAAAGTATATTTTTTTATTTGTATTCTAATAAAAATATATGGAAAAGTATTATAAAATAATAATAAAAATCTCAATTTTCTTATAAAAGTACTTTATGAATTCAAAAATATTTATAAAATAAATAAACAAAATAATTATTTGTTACAAACTAATTGATGAATTTCAATGAAACTTTGCACAAGTCATTTTTAATACACTGAGAAACAAATGCTATTGATTCAATTAGTCTATATTATGGGCTGTAACATAAGTAAATGTCAATAAAAATATACCTGAATTAATCACTTATGTTAGTGACAGCCCGTAATATAGACTTTAATTGAATCAACAGCATTTTTCTTAGTGTAATAAAGTACTTATACAAAATAATTTAGATTTTTGTTTTCATTTATTGTTTTCATATCAAAATAATAATTGAAAATAAAATAATCTATAAAAATATGTTGCTCAATAAAAACAGAATACTATGAACGCAACTAAAATATTAATATATGTGTTTTATGCTCTTACAACCTCCCCATACAGTACAGAATTTGCAGTAATATCGCTGCAATAACGCTACAATATTACTGCAACATGCAATATTATTGCTACAATGTTGCAACATTGTTGCTGCAACTTGTGTGCTGTAGGGGTTCTTACGAAATGTAATAAAATAAATATATGCACAACTTTCTGATATTAATTTTATGTATGTACACACAATATACTATACATACGCGCTCACGCGTGCGTAATAATACTACATGTACATGTACATTAATATATATTTAGGACATTTTAACTTTCACATTGAAATATCTCGAAAAATATAAAAGATACGGAAAAATGTTTATTAAGATACGAAAAAAAGTTATATGGCGGCTGACGGGGCACAAATAATGAGAAAATTAATTTTCGAAAAAATTGATTTTTTTATGTCATATGTATGTACAGAATAAATGAGATAAATTACATGTAAAAAAAACACATACAGTTGCTTTTCAAAAGAATTATCCAACTTGCAAGATGCAACTATATACATTCTTTTTTTCAAAAACAACTATATATTTTCATTACACCATTAATTGATTGATTCTGTGCATATTACGGAAAGTTTCGCTTGAATTGAATTGAAAAAATCAATTCTTTTTGTATTTTTTTAAAGTTTTACATTTCAAGAATATTTAAATATTTATGTGATGTTAAAAACTGTGACTTTCAATAAACAAAATTTTTTAAATTGCCAAGTTAGCCAGCTCAGCGAACACAATAAAATACGGACATTTTACTTTTTTTTTTAATCTTTGGATGCGTCTAAAAAATGTTTAATTTTTTAAAAATCAGCAGTTTTATAGGTTCACTCCCGGCAGAAATTTATTTAATAATGAAACCAACCTCTCATTTGAAAATTGTTCCTCGAGATACAGTGCTCACCGATGTTAAAAACGTCACGTCATTTAGAGAGAAGGTCGTTCGATTTTCTTTAAATACTAATACTTACGAAGCAAAAAGTAAAACAGCATCTGCCTGTTTTATTTCTTGCCTGTTTCGCATATTTGCTTTCAATGGAAAGCCCGTCCCTTGCTCAGCATGGGGTACGTGGTTTTCCTGAACCTCATTCAAAGTTGTCCGGTCTTAGGTATTCTTAATAGTTGAGAAAGCTCAGCATCTGTCTATTTCCCATATTCTCTTTCAATGGAAGGTCCGCTTTGTTCAGCAGGGAAGAGGTTTTCCTGGATTGCTTATATCTGTTCGGCAAGCCAAAAAAAGTAGGACATGTTGGAGACGCTTTTATCATCATCCGACGATACACGGCAAAAAAATAAGTTAAAAGAGCTGAAATATTTCGGCCCTTTTGACTTTTTTTTGCCGTGTATCGTCGACACAGAGTTCAATCGTAAAATCGAGGACCTAAAAATGGACGATTTTTGCGGTCACTTTTTCTGCTGGGAGTAAACACATAAAACTGCTGACTTTTTTAAATTGAATATTTTTTAGACGCGCCCAAAAATAAAAAAAGTAAAAAAAACCGTACTTTATTGTATTCGCTAAACTGTACCTTCAATTTTTAGAATTTCTTTTCATCGAGATTCATCCTATAGAAAAATAATGTTTGTAACATCCCTTATGGAAAGAGACACTGAAAATTTCGAAAAAACACTGAAAATTAAGTGTTAACATTCAACTTTGAGTATTAACACCTGAAAATTAGGTGTTAACACTTAATTTTCAGTGTTTTTTCGAAATTTTCAGTGTCTCTTTCCGTAAGGGATGCTTTATGATTTTCTTGGTTCAGATAAAATAAGACAAGCTCACCAATTTAAAAAGAATGTCAGGTGGCGGAACATAATTTCATATTGACGATGTAATAAATAATTAATTTTTTTCATAAAAAAATTATGTGTAAACATAAATGTATAATAAATAAACATTGCAAATTTCAGAAAGATAAACGAAATACTTAACTTTCGTACAAAAACATTTTTTAAAGATAGGTTTCGCTTGAATGAGGTGAAAAAAATCGATTTTTTTTGTATTTTTTGTATTAATTTCTTAATTTTACATTTCAAGAATATTCAAATATTATGCGATATTCAAAACTGACAAAGTTGCAAGATCTTAAAGCAATCACGTATAGACAGGTAGAAAATATTTTCCCCTCTCTTTTGGCCTGCCGAACAGGTGCAAGCAATCAAGGAAAAACCGAGGGCGCACTTTCGTAAATCAGGAAAGCGACCCATTGTTGAGCAGGGGAGACTTTGAAAGTGTGTTTGCGAAATAGTGACAGATGCCGTTTTTCATGTTTGCTTTCGTAACTATTAGAAATATGTAAGGAAACCCGACCTTTTGAACGCGTTTTTTTCTAAACGATGCGACGTTTTCAAAACCGGTGGGCATTGTATCTCGAGAAATAATTATTCAATCGAGTTTAAATTTAGAAAGGTCGGTTTCGTTAAATAAATTTCTGTTGAGAGTGAACTTATAAAACTATTGATTTTTTTAAATTAAACATTTTTTAGGCGCATCCAAAAATTAAAAAAAAAATAAAAGACTCATACTTTATTGTATTTACTAAGCTTTAACTTTGGCAATTTAAAAAATTTTTTTATGTAGTTTATGATATATTTTATATTTTACACAAGAATAAATTGTAAAATATCTCGTAAACTATTGAATTTTCGATATCTCTACCTTAATAATTTTATATACAGAATAGCTAAAGAAATCATACTATGAAAAAAGATCTTACAATCCTATTTAAAAAAATTGCCTTGACTTTCGTATTACTATAAAAAAATTGATTTTTTTATGGTCAATATTTTATCATATTTGTGCCTTATATATTTTTCAAGATATTTAATTCGATGTGAAAGTTAAAATTGGACGCCCTGTGTGTGTGTGTGGGGGGGGGGTGCGCGCGCGCGCGTGTATTTTGAGGATATCGTGCAAACAGGAGTATAGAAAGAATTAAATTTTCGTTATCTTTGTATAACTTTATTGAGAAAGTAATATTCATCTTCTTTACATTAAAAAGATGAAACTACATTTTGGCCATCGCTTCTTTAAATTCCGAAAAAGCTAAAACATAATTATTAAAATTTCACTCATATTCGTACAATTTATCATTGTGTATATATAATATATATCTATATATCTATATATTCTCACTCTAAAGAATGAAAGCTTACTCTTAAAGATTGAAAATTAAGTTACTCTTTATCAGTACGGCTTAGTTTTCACTTTTTAGAGTAAGATTCCACTCCAAAGAATTTAGAGGGTGTGTGTGTATATGTGTGTGTATATATATATATTGCCAAGTTTTTGTATTATATAACTCATTTGTCCACATACCATATTAATAAATCCTGATTACATAATATTTTCTTTTAATATTGCTACTGAAATATACATATTTGTTAAAATAATATATTTCAAAATACGCCACATTCACTATGTTTGAAACGAAGCTATAATTATAATTCATACGTGTTACATTGAACAAATTGTTGTATCCTCAATGTTATTTATCCTATGTAAATTATCTAATAATGTGATGTTTCACAACAAAA